TTTAGGGTGCATCAGTATAAAAGGGACCCTCAAGGACCTGAAATGGGTTGCCGAGGTTTTCTTACTTATTTTTTGATCCCATCCACTTGGTGACACCTTTATAGACTTGATGGCGCGCCCAATGTTGCCCCTACGACTCCTTTGAGGTCGGTCGTGCCGCCGGTGAAAACCCCACCCGTGGCACCGCCGGGGTGGGAGCCAGCCACGGCACAGGGTGGCTCGTTGCGATGGATCCGCTTTTTCGAGTTGGAAGGGTTAAGTTGACGAGAAGAGCGTTTGCAACAAACATTCACCTGGGAAGCTTCCTTAAAAACATTATATAGACATCTGATGTGTTACGCATATTTCTGCAGGTTAGTTCACAACTTTGGCTGCCACCAAGCAATGGAGAAATGGGCAGTGCACGGCTAATCTCCGGCAACTCACACTGTTTCACTTGCCTAGAAATCATAGCCAAAAGTACATTTTTCACCATCGGTTCATCTTATCAGAAGATTCACCTGTTCAACCTGCCGTTGGGAACAGGTCAGACACGGCCTCCACACTTTTCAGACCAACCAAGTTCAACCAGGCCTGCAAAGGGCTTGTTCTTACACCTTCAAAACCCACTGCAACCGTAATCCCTGCATAATATGACTCTTGCTTTATTTTTGGGGTGATGACCTTTGTGGTGGATCCACCATGTCCAAGTAGAATGACCAAGAAACCAAAAAACCTGACTCTTGTTTGGACCTGACCATCCCCATGAACATGTGCAGTGCCTTTGTTCCAGACAGTGCCTGGACTTCGATGAGCGCGTTGCCACTCGTGTTGATTTTTCGTCTCCAAACCCAGGCCAAGCTGTCAAGCCGCGGAGCCGGAGCCGGGACAGCAGTGCCTTGAGGGAAAAGCTGTCAGAAGCCCCGTTTGGTGCGTTGTGAGAAGAAGAGCCTGCAACATGAAGCAAAGCAGTTTCTTTCGTCACGAAACAGGAAGCTTCTTTTCGGCTATATTTCTATAATGTTTACCATTTGCTATCCCAAAAACTGTTGTTTGACTGCAGATGCTTTTGTTGCTGTTTTGCTTTGGACACAGACTCCCTGGATGACTACTCTCCTTTGCACGATATATATATATATATCTACTCCGCGGTAAAAGTAGATGGAACCTATTTTTAGGGTTGTGCCATCAATATTTTGGAGAAACTGCAAGCCTCTACCGGAGAGAGGTCATTTTCCTTGTACCATCTACTTGTTCCAGACTTGGGAGGGCTAAATCATCAACCCCAAAAAACCTTGTGCCATCTACTTTTGCGTGACCATGCCCCGTTGATTGTGCCATCTACTTGGCTGTTATCGTGCACTGGTCTGAAAGCTAGGTCAATGGAGTGTGAAGTGGACGCAGAAGGAAAAGGGAAAGGCAAGGGAAAGAGAGGGAAAGGAGAAGTAAAGGAAAGGAGAGGAGATGGAAAGAGCAGGAAAGCAAAGGAGATGAAAGGAACGGACACAAAAGGAAAGAGCAAGAAAGAACAGGAAAGGGAAGGGCAGGTAAAGGAGAAGTGAAACAAAGGAAACACAAGGACAGGAAAAGGAAAGGATGCAGGCATGAGCAGGAGAGGGAAGGAGGGGGAACAGGAAGGCGAGGGGAACTTAGTTGTGCCATCTATTGGCTCCACTATCAGTGCTGTGTTACCTTTCACACAGGGGGTGCGCCATTTGCTGGGCAGTTCCCATGCTTTGTCCTGGAAGCAGAAGGAAAGGGAACGGGGAGGGAAAGGTAGGGGAAGGAGATGGAAAGGAGAAGTGAAGGAATGGAGTGGAAAAAAGGAGAGGGGAGGAGAGGAAATGAAACAAAAAGACCATAAAAGGCAAGAAAATAAGACAGAACAGAAAAATTCAAAACAAAGGCAGGGGGCAAGGAAAGAAAAAGAAAAGGAAAGGAAACAGAAAGGGAAAGGATATGGAAGAAGAGGGGATGTGAAGGGGAAGGAAATGAGTTGCACCATCTATTGACTCAACTATCATGTTCACCTTTCACACGGGGGATGTGCCATCTACTAAAGCTAGGCCAATGGATTGTGAAGTGGACGCATAAGGAAAGGGAACGGGAAGGGAATGGCAAGGGAAGGTGAGGGAAAGGAGAAGTGAGTGAAGTAATGGAGTGAAAAAAAAAGAGAGGAGAGGATAAGAAAGGAAAAGGAAAGGAAAGGAACTGAAACAAAAGGAAATTAAAGGCAAAAGAAGGCGAGAACAGGAGAAAGGGAAGAGTGAAAGCTCATTTTCCTTGTCCTATTCATTGTTTCCATCAAGAATGGTTGTGCCATCTACCCATGTGGGAGCGCGTTGTCCTTTGTGCCATCTATTATTTTGTTGACCCTGTTGGGGGGGAAATTCACAACCCACACAGGGAATCAACAGGAAATCGAAAGGCTTCACTGGGACATCAAAGGAAACCAAAAGGAACCACAAGGAAACCAATAGGAATCAGCAGGGAATCAAATGGTTTCAACAGGAAATCAATAGGCACCAACAGGAAATCCATAGCCATGAAGGGAAACAGAAAGGAATCCACAGGAAATCAAAAGGCTGGATGGCTTGCGCCATCAATTCTGAGCGCACGAACATCCTACTCCCCACGAGAGCGTAAAAAACCTTGTGCCATCTATTTTTTCGTGGCCCCGTTCCCCAAAATCACTACCCATCAAGAACCTTGTGCCATCTACCCCCCCCTGAAATCTGGCCAAAAAAATGTCCCGAAGTGCCATCTACTCGCCCTCCCATTCTTTCCGAGTTGTTCCTGACACTCTCCCCGCGGTGTATATATATATATATCTAAGTGTGTATGTATATGTATACATGTTATTGTTAAATATATATATATATACTATATATATGTACTATATATATATGTACTACATATATATACACGTGTCTATATGTATATATATATACACATAATGTGATATCTACGCCACGATGAAGTTTTGCCTGGTTCTATCCATCGCTTGGGTTTCTGAGTTCATCCGACAATAGGACCATATGATAGACAGCAGCATCTTGTGCTTGGGTGGCTTTGATTTCAACCTGACAGATGCTCTGACGGAAGGGAGGCTCTAGTTACTTGGATAAGAACCAGTTTGAAGTTGGCTGTTCGGACAATTTCCTACGGCACTCACAAAATCAGGAGGGGAAGTTAAAACGGCTTATCAATGCAAATGGACCGATTTTAAATACATGTTTGCCGGGGATCCATTTGAGGTATTCACTTTTCTAATTTCTTGTTGCGTCGCAGGTGCTAAAAAGCGCCGGAGCAGTAGCAGCAGCAGGAGCAGCAGCCGGCCCAGCAGCAGGCGGCGCCGCCGCAGCCCAAGCCGCAAGAGGCGGCGAAGCCGTCTTTGGAGCCAAGGTGTTCGGACTAGGGATGGCTTCCAACCTACAAGACCTCGAACCTGATAGGAATGGCCTTCACCCTAGAAGCGATGGCCAACCTGCCTACATAGAAGATGTTGGAAAATAGGGTTTGGAATGGTTTGGGTCCCTTTTGCCCTGAAGGTCAAACAAAGACCAGAGAATCGACCGCTTCGCAAGTCTCACAGGATTGCTCGTACAGGGCCACAGCCAGTCCCTTTGGGTGATGGACCTCAAGGTTCAGTGAAGTCTGGCAACCTTAACCTGCATGTGCCCGAAGAATCTTGTGTCCTCAAACCCAGGATCCGACCCATGCTATGGAGAGTCTGACAAATCTGAGCGCTGTTGTTGGAACTTTGCAAAGACGGTACCGACTGGACCTGATTGAGAAAGCGTCCTGATAGGAGAAGCCGCAGCCGACGCCGAGATAGCCTGGACCCGAGTTTTGAGTCTTGAGGGTTCTCTCGTGATATGCAAAACTTGACTTGGTGTTGCCTCGATCAGAAGATGCTTGGAATCTCTCTATTATGTATATATATATATATATGTATTTATTTTTCAGAATTGAGCAGAAGGGATTGCTGTGGCTACATTCCCCTTCTGGGGGTTAGCAAATGAGCTACTGTCTCTGCCAACCAGGTACCCTTGCTCATTGCCAGAATTCTTGATGGACCCCATCCTATCCTATCCCTTGAAAGAGTGATTGTGGGTAGGTAGACAGAGCCCAGGTCCACGAAAGACAGATGCCTCTTTGTCCATCAGCTATAATCTCTCAAAACTCTTGGCTTAAACGAGACCCCCTTTGAGCCGCACTTGGGATTCAAGCCGAGAGTTTTCCTCGCTGGTAGATGCTGAACATCGGTGTAGGGTATGGGAAAAGGGCCCACTTCCATGAGAACGTCGAAGGGAAGAGGAGTCTAAAAACATGAGAACAAAAAGATAGAGGGTTTAAAGAGAAGAAAAACCGGCCCAAAGAAAACATTAACATCACTATACTGCACTATCCGTTTTCATTTTTCTCGTCCTTCAAGCTGGCCAATGCCACAACCCTGAGCTTCTAAGCCTCGGTTCAGAGTGAAGGCCGCCGCCGGAGCCCCTCACGGCGGCGCAGAAGCCCATCCCGTCGGAGAAACCGGAGCCGCTCCTACAGAAGGAGGACGAATGAGGGAAGCTGATTTCCCCTCAAGCGATACTTTTCCTTTCTAAGTGGGTGTATCTGATCTCCAAACAGTTTTCTGTTGGGGTTCCCTCATAAAAAAGAGCTGGCCACACTGGCTGGCCGTGCCCCTGAACTCTGTGTCCAGGCTCTGTGTCCGGGTCTTGTCCTCCCTTTGTCCTTCTCTTGTCCTCCTCTTGTCTTCTTCTTGTCCTTCCCTTGTCCTCGTCTTGTCCTTCTCTTGTCCTCCTGTCCCTTGTCCTGTTGTCCTCCTGTTGTCCTCCTCTTGTCCTTCTCTTGTCCTTGTCTTGTCCTTTTTTTGTCCTTTTTTTGTCCTTCTCTTGCCCTCCTCTTGTCCTTCTCTTGCCCTCCTCTTGTCCTTCTCTTGCCCTCCTCTTGTCCTCCTCTTGTCCTTCTTTTTCCTCTTCTTGTCCTCCTCTTGTCCTCGTCTTGTCCTCTTCTTGTCCTTCTCTTGTCCTCCTCTTGTCCTCGTCTTGTCCTCTTCTTGTCCTTTTTCCCCAAACAGTTACTGTAACTGTTGGGGGTTCTCCCTTAAGAGAAGAGAAACTGGCCAGAGTCATTGGCCGCGCCCCTGCACCTTGTGTTCCGGTCCTCCTGTTCCCTTCTTGTCCTCCCGCTGTCCTCCTGCTGCTGCCGTGCTCTGGCCGCGCTGGCGATGTCCTTCTCTGGTCCTCCTGGTGTCCTCCTCCTGCCCCTAGTGGGCCACGTTTGCGAACCCTGTGTGGTCTCCTGCTGTCCTCGTGCCACGGTTGCAGACCATGTGTCCTCCTCTTGTCCTGTGTCCAGGTCCCAGATGAGGTCCCAGGCCTTGCTGGCTTTTTGAGTCAGCTGACCCAAGACTGGCCAGAGTAGATGCCGAGGTGTCTCAAGAGACCGATTTTGAAGACTTCCATGTAGGAGCTGGGCCCAGTGCCGTGACACAGAAAGCAAAAAACGCCCTTTGTCCAGGTCTTGCCTGTCCTGCTTGTCCACGTTGTCGGCCTTTTTTCACCGCCTTGTCCAGGCCTTGTCCCCTGCTTGGCCACGCCGCTTTTTCTTTCTCCACCGCCTTGTCTGGGTATGTTTTCATGTGGCTATGAATGCAACAGTGATACAGCGTTTGATATGTGATATCACCCTTGGATTTTCTCATGACAGTGACATTTATATCTGATATCCCATCATTTTTTGCACATGTGACACGGGCATCAGGAACTAGTGCTTTCAAACATCAATTGTTTGTGCGCAGTTCCCAAACAGCTGGAGGCTATATAGAGCACAAACATGCAGGTTTTCCCACCAACATTGGAATTCAAGGAGTTGACACTGTTCGGGGGTCTATGCTGGCATAATTGATGGTACTTGGCTTTCTAGGCCAAGCTAGGACGGTGACTTTGTTACACAGGCCCATTTCTCAGATTTTTCCAGACATCATGGGTAAAGGGCATTGATGGAAACATAGTGATGGGGAGCTCCCAGTTTGATAGACATATACATGCATGCATATGGAGTTTGTTTGGGCCAACTGCATGTGTCCTGTTGTCACCAGTCTTCTCTTGCAGATCCTTCCAAAAGAGGTGCAAGATAACATCTTCTTTCGATAGACAAGAGGAGTCCTACATCCACAAGAAACTCCCGATGCCAGGAGTCGCTCCAACCGCTACCGCCGGCCGCGGAGCCCCCCACCTCGGCGCTTCAGTCCACCTCGTCGAGGCAAAGACAGGTCGTTTGCGGATTCAGAATCCACTTGCAGAGCTTCCAAAGTTCTTGCAAACGAAAGAAAGGTGTCATCCATCATCCTCATGTTTGAAGTCGTGGTTCCAATTCTTTTTCCAGGTGACCTGGTGGCAGGGGTCCCTTCGGGTCCATTTGAAACCAGCTTCCAATGCCACAGGTGGAGGTGGAGTGGAGATGTGCGGCGACTTCCGCCGGGGAAAATGCGACCGAGGCAAAATCCGAGCGGCCCCATGTTGCTCCACGGAGGATCCGCCTTTTGCAAACGTGAGCCGACAAGAGACCCAACACCCCTTGTTCTTGCTATGGAGTTGTCATGGTTTAATGAAGAAGGCGTGGAATCTCCAAGCGTCCAGATTGCAAAGGAATGAATATGATGAACAAAGACGGATGAAGATGAAGCTTGGGATTGATGGACCAATGTCCTTTGGGTATAGCATAGACCTGCAAGATCCGGTCTAGTATTGACACTCCCACATCGTGTCAATCAGGTCATTATGAAGGATGACCAAATGAGAATGAAAGGCATGAATGGTCTAACCTGGCATCATTCCAAGGAGTCCAGGCGTTTTGGAGAGGGTCCGCGGTTCGAAGCATGAGCGCCATGATCAAAGGGGACACCAAGAACAGCCCAGTTATTTTCCAAGCACGTCACTAGACGAATTGTCAATCCTTTCTGGTGCAGGTCAGATGGTGAAAAGCCACGGTAACCGGTAACCAAGAATGCGGTTGATCCAGACAGAGACCCTTTGCCCAGTCGAGTTGTGTGCACCGATGCCGTTGACCGTGGAGCAGGTGATCGCTGCAAGTTTTCTCATGGGGAAGCTGGCGGAGCCGGAGGACGCTATTAGGGGCTCCTGGCCTTACTACTAGGAGCAAGAAGCTACTAGTAGCAAAGGGCATCGCGACTAGGAGCAATGTTCGCTGCTAGGGGCTCCTGGCATCGCTACTAGGAGCAAGGACGCTACCAGGTGACAGCCTCCTTTGCCGGAGGACGCGTGGGAGGCGGCGGAGGCGGTGGAGGCGGCGGAGGCGGTGGAAGCGAACGTGCAGGAGGCGTTGGAGTTGGGGTTGGTGAGGGAGAAGGAGGAGTTGTGGGAGCTTTGAGGAGAAAGAGTTGTGGGAAAAGCTCGTCCTTTTTTGTACAGTTAGGTCTCCAATGTGGTTGTAGTTATCTTCAGCTCAGATTGGCAGTGGACGCGGTCAATGCAATGGACTCCTTCTGTCTGATTCATGTTTTATTCCCCCTTCTATTTTTGCTTTTGTTCGTCTTTCATTGGAGCTTTCGTCTTCTTTTGGGCATCACATGCGGTTTATGTGCTTCTTGGGATTCCTCATCGGACAACTGCGTGAGAATGTGTGGGCGACAAGCAGCAAAATTCTTGCTTGTGACACTCTTCCAGATGTGCTTGGATCATCCACATCATCCAGACTCCAAACCTCAAAAGCAAGGTGCTGGTCTACTTGTAGAAATCACCACCTTTGCCCTTCCTGGCCATCATCGACCCGTTTAGCCCCTCCACCTGCACCTGCGCCTGCACCAACTGCGCCCGCCGCACGGACGTGCCCGCGCTGGAGCGTTTGCAGATTGGAACTGTCCCAACTGCGGCGTGAGTGTCTTCGCCTCCAAGAGTGAGTGCTTCAAATGTCACACCAAGAAGGACGGCACCAAGGCCGGGAACATCAGACACGTGGATCGGCACATCAGCTCCTTGTGTCTCAAACCGCTCTGCTTGGGTGCCAATGTGCCAGCCATGTTCTACAAGCCCTACATGTTTTGTTTATGAGTCCCGGACCATGGTAGGGAATTATATTCCATCAACCAGGATGTTCACGAAGATAGAATACAGGGTTTTGACCCACAGCCTGTCATCCTTAGTCCATCGAGCGATAGCCATTGGGTGAAGATAGGCCAGATAGGACCGAAGACCCGCATGCTTTCAACACTTTCTTGGACACCATAGGCTGACGGTACAATATGTGCAGACAGCGCAGCACCATAGCACTTTGTTGCAAGCGCTGAGTCGTCATTGTTCACTAAACACACCCAGATGATCCCAGATGGGTCAAAGCAGGACCTCCACTTCTCTATCCAGTAATTGGGATTGTGTACAGTGGTTGATATTTAGAGGAGATTGTATATGGGTGTACTCAAAATAGGGCCACCCCCAAAGACCCGTGTGAAGAGGAAAGACCGATCCAGTTGATCCAGCTCTTGATTTTGTTATCCAGCAGGATTTTGACAACACCCGTGGCTCAGGGCACTGGCCTGGGCGATTGCGGGCCACCGCCGCAGAAATTCTCAGAGGTGGGGGCCTGAAACGGGGAGGATTTCAGGACAGATTCATTTGGTCAGGTACAACTCGCAGAGGGAAAATCCTAAAAGATGGGCATCGCTCTTAGGTTGGAGGCCATTGCTAGTAGGTTGGAGGCCATCGGCTGCAAGGGGTGGTCTGCATGTGCACAAAGACTGAAGAGGTTCACGATAACTCAAGGCTAAAAGGTTCCTGATTTGGCTTTGTGATTTAGTGTGGCCGGATGCATTTGGGTGTATCTCAAAACGAGAGGACCCAGAAGAACATTGGCAAAAACCGCAGTGGTTTAGGGTTCGCGATTCTCTATGTAGAAGTGCTACTATGTGACCCTGCAAGAAAGGATGCTTTTGAAGCTTTTCTTTTTTCCCAATTCAGACCTGACCGAGCCACTACACTATATGACAATTTCCCCAGTCTGGCCGATGTTCCCAACTCCAAAACTGCCCCCCAAAGCCAGCAGATAACTAGGATCTCATCTGTGGCCCTCCAAACATAGCAACAAAAGATGTTTCAACCCGAATGCCGAAAGACCACACGTCAACACATTTCCCAAGACCAGTCCTTGGCAAATGTTCCCTCAAAGTCCCTCCCTTTGAGTTTTCAAGGCTCTTTGGGAGAAACCGCGACAGCAAACTGGGCTTCAACTTGTCGGTGAGCTCCAACCCACTGCGGCACCTTGTCGCACACGGTCCTTTGGGATGCTTTTGGCATTTGAATTTGTTGATTAGTCGGGCATGAACGTTGGATAAATTTGGCACCACTTTACCCAGTTTTTCAATTTGTCGAGTCTTTACTTGCACCTTTCAAGTTGTGAGCATGTTTGGGTGGGATCTACTTGTGTAAAGGCTGCATCTATTGAGCCCCACTTATCTAAGAAGCTTCTATTCTGGGGACCGGGGAGACTTGGACTCGCCACCAAATGACCTGCCAGCGGCAAGACAGCGGGATTGCTGATTCTCTGTCAAGGTGATTATGTATATACTAGGAGCAAGGACGCTACTAGGGGCTCCTGGCCTTACTACTAGGAGCAAGAAGCTACTAGGAACAAAGGGCATCGCTACTAGGAGCAAGGACGCTACTAGTATCCAGACGAGTCAAAGAGGGAGCAACGTCGTTTGGTTGTGTAGACCTTGAAGATGGTCATCCAACACGGTTTCCATTCACTTGACCACCGACGCAGGGAAGCCCGCCCAATCTAAATCTGCAACCACTGCAGAGGTACGAATCGATTCTGCCTTGTGAAGGGCTATGGCGGGGCAATTCAACTCCCAACTGGCCCATTTAGAGGAAACAAAAGCTTTGGCAATGCGGGGTCTGAACACAACCCTTTATATAATAGACTTAGACGGGTGGTAAGTCTAGACAATTTGATGGACGTCCCTAGGCACAGCTCTCATTCTGAGACACACAGGAGAGATGGTCCAAATGACAGCGAATGGTTTTTGACACTGATTGATTGGGTATATATGGAAAGTCCGTACAAATTTGCAGGGAAACTTGCTGCTGCTACAACTCAGACGAACACGCTGGAAAGGCCAGCAGCAACTAACAACTTGGACCAGATTGGATTCTGAAAGCCTATTTTCTTGAAACTGAAGTTGTCATGCGGAACGGGCGTTCGCGGAACGCGGCGTTCCTCAAGGGTTTTTTGATCTCCCCTCGCCGCCTCGCCATCCCCCAATTTGGAGCTCCGAGGGCTGGCGCTATGTCCTGTCGGATGAAAGCCGTCGCTGCTTTGCGGCCTATTTGTCCAGCCCCTTCACCGCTGATCAAACCAGGTGAGTTATGACGTGAACTAAGAAAATATAGGAAGACAAACGAGATGAAAGAGAGACGGTAAGGCAGCTTTTTTCTTCTGCTATACTGTCTTTAGCAACTGGGGTCACCACGGCAGCAGTTGTTGCGCTGGTTCGGGACGACCCTTGCCGCGCGGAGGGACCGTTGGCATGGCGAGCTAGCTTATCTATAGGACCAAATGTCGGAGAAAGCGTCCAAACCATTGGAGCAAAATGCCTAGGAGGTTCGTCACATTTTTTTTGAGCCAATAGAGGAAAGATGCACCGGCCCGCATGACGGAGGCAGTATTTCAATGCCATCAAGGAGGGAACTGATTGGAAACAACCGGAGGCTGACAACTGGCCGGTTCGTGCTTGTGTGGTGATTTTGGCACCCCGCTAGGCCTTGCCATGCCTCAAGGCCCCAAAGACATTGTACATGCTTTTAGGGAACCACATCTCCCAAGCACAAGATAGATTGGAGAGGGGTTGCCTGGGTTGTTCAAGAGATGTAAATTACAATTTTCACATGGATCATGTAGATAGATATGATATAGTAATGTATAATATCATATAATACTATAATATACTGTACTGTAACATATAACATAATAGTATATTATAATATAATATGATGGTTACGTGATGGTTTCGGCCGCGCGCGCTTTAGCAATTTTCCCAGACAGCCAGACAGCAGCTCATAGTTTCTACAAAGACAAAGAACGTTTCAGTTGTGCAAGTTCATCCTTCAGACGTTGATTTTAATGGCGCAGGCGATCATTCTCTTCCTCGATTTCCTGATGGCATCCCACTGCATCTAGCAACTCTTGGAAAAGCACTCTTTCGTCTTGCGTCAACGGTGCCCGGGGTGTAGAAGTTGACATTGGCGTGGCCTCCTGTTCCACAGACTTTTGTTTCTCTGCTTCCGGGTTCTCTGATGTAGAAGACGATGATGAATCCGAAGAACTAGAATCAGAACCACTACCTCCATCTCCATCTCCATGTTGGTCATCATTGGGCATTTCTGCTGCAGGAAGAACAGGTGCAGGAAGAGCAAGCATTGGAACGCTGCCTTGGGAAGCTGATGCCGAGCGAGCACGGCCATCTTTCTTGGCTTGTAACCAAGAAAGCAGCGCCGTCTGGCAGTTACTCGACCACGCAGTACCTTGTGCCAGGGTTCCCTGGTTCACTGCATTGCGTCTGATGGTGCTGATTTGGACTTGAATTTGCTTTTTAGTGACTGCCGCCCTGTCACTATGCACAGCGATTATTGTTCCATTGCCAGTGTTTTCCATGATGTCAGCAGCATCAGGACAAGAAGTAGGTTCTGAAGAGGTGCTTTGAGACACATTGCCCATGAGCTCCAAAGTGATGTGCTGTCGTTCGTTCATGTAGGCTTCCACAGAGAGCTGCATGCGCGGAGACTTCGGCATGATCTACTAGTACTAAACAGTCTGACTACGAAGCAATGACTGTGCTCAGGGAAAATGCCTGCAAAATACATGCACGCAAGTTGCACATGCAACAAGCAAATGAACAGCAAGCAAACATAAACATGCCAGACGCAAAGGAATAGGTTTTCTTTTTTCCGAAGCTTTTGTGAGCATTAGCCTAGATCTGGTGCAGACGCTGCATGGCTTCCATTGTGGTAGTCAAGGGCACTACATAGACATCTCTATTAGCTTTGGCGTGCATTTTTCGCCACCGATATTCATTCAAAAGGCATTTCCACCTTTGGCGGTTGCTATGTGAAGGCACTTTGCCGCCTTCACGCTTGCGAACCCATCTTTTTACAAGTGACCAACGGTTTTCAATGTGATTCGTAGTGAATCCATTGGCATTGGTGCTATGGTTCACAATTTCATGCCACAAATCTGCGTTAGTCCATCCCTTTTCTTTTTTTAGATCCTTGATAGCCGCTACCGTCGCCTTCCATCCATTGGTCACGATGATGGTCTTGGGTTGCAGGTTGAGAAGGCGAAGGCAATCAAGAATCTCAGCCTGACCTCGAGGCTTGCCATCCAGAGCATCTTGTGGGTGATCCAAGACACGAAATAAGAAATGTTCTGGCCTGCCAGGAACAGTAGCACCCCACACCCAGACCTGATCAGTTTCTGCGCGGCAACTTTTACTCAGACTACCGCTTCGCTGAGACTCATCAACTTCAACAACATTTTTGTACTTCTTGTAGAAAGAGGTAGCGTTTGGGGTCTTCTTTTGTGAGTGTGGCTCAAACTTGTTGTTTCCAGCAGGTCGTTTCCAGGCACCGTAGGTCTTGGATCTGGATGAAGGTTTCTTGGTGGCAAATGGCTTCTTCATGACAGTATTGGAGCTGGCTGAAGGTCTTTTGATGGCACAAGTCTTCTTGATGACAGTCTTCTTAACTTTCCGAACTTGGTTCGCTGACTTCAGGGGTGTCGAAGTGATACTGAAAGAAGTTGCATAGCGCCAAAGGTCTGCCTGCACTGCTTGATGAAAGACTTTTTCCCATGGGTTGAGCTTCTGATGCCAGACACCTGCTTCTCTGACAATGATTCAAGATGGGTAGTCAAAGCCCCACATGCACAGGCAATCAAAGAAATTCAAGAAATTCTTCGTCTTGACGCCTGAGAAATTCATGGCTCTGAGAATTCTTTTGGCAATCACTTTCGGGAGTCAAGAGTCCCCCCCCTCCCCCCCCCCCCCCCCCCCCCCCCCCCCCCCACCTCACAAGCAACATTTATATATAATGAAGGAATGAGTTTGCAAACTAGAGGTTTGGTTTGCAATCCAGTTTGTTTGTTGCAATGTTACGTAATTAATGAAGTTGGAAGCCAGATGTTGAAGTAAGCAATGAAGCCAGATGTTGGAGTATGCAATGAAGCCAGATGTTGAAGTAAGCAATGAAGCCAGATGTTGGTGAAGCCAGATGTTGGAATAAGCAATGAAGCCAGATGTCAGATGTTGAAGTAAGCAATGAAAGTATGTATGTTGGAGTAACATGTAAATGCCTCAAAAGTTGAGGTCCGAAATCATCCCCTAGCCAATATAGTATAAAATAATTCAACACAACATAGCATATTGTAATACAATATAATATAATATGCATTCAGCAACATCTCATTGCTTTGCATTCTCTTTGGGGCCATTTTTCAGGCGGGCTGTTCGAGAAGCCACCAAGAATCTTACTTGATGGTTGTGCAAATAGCTTTGCCTCCAAATGGGGGGATCCTCCTCGCAATTGGTTGAAACGCCCATTTTCCCCACAAGCAGGCTCCTTATCACAAGATAGACAGACCCAAATAGGACAGTGGAGTCGAAACATAACATTGTTCATCTTCGATTGAAGCGTCGCCCCTTGCTTCGTAAAGGGGGGGCTTGCCCTTCGGCAATGACCCGCTGCCAGGGTCCAAATGGGCCGATCCCGCGGAAAACCGCGTGGATGGTGGCACCCAACGGGTGTCAATGCACCTACCGCTATGGCAGGAGAGGGATCCACTCGCGGTCGGGCTGTGATGACCAGGTCCATAAGGTTTGTGAAGACCGGCTTAGTGGAAAGCCCGCGACCACCACCCACAGACCCACAGTTTGACTGTTTCAAAGCAAAGACCTTTCGCTCCGTGGCTAAGTCTGGTTTTTCAGGAATGTTTAAACATGAGTGATAGCGGTCGTCTCTTCCCCCACAAAAGGAGATTTGAGGCCAGGTACTGCGAGCATTCAACGGAATTCGGAACGATGTAACCACCATGGCTCTTGGATTGGTGCCTAAGGACATGGAATTTTGTGTCCAGTGAAACATAGGTTTATCAACGCGGCTTTCAGACTGGTGTCTAAATGCAATAAGCTCGCAACTGATCCGTATAGAAGTACATCATACCATACCACATTTGGAGTGGCAACTCATCTTCCACAGTCTTCCAGCCAGGGCACCGAGCATTGGCTAGATTTGACTGACTCAGCTCCGGCCTTGAGATTGTCTGCTTTTCATCTCTGCCTACTCCTCCCGCAGCGTTTGCCTCGCCTGGTCTTTGTACCCCATCCCGCCATGCTCGCCCGAAGCGCAGTGCCCTCGGCTGCGCCAGCGACGCCGACGTTGGCATCGGCTCGCCGCGCGCAGCGAACGCCGCGAAGGGCCTGGGGCGCTGGAGGCTGCTGGCCATGGGTGGCAGGATTTTCGGCCCTGGCCTCGCAGATGAGGCAGGGTGTGTGGCAGAACTGATTTCCATGTTGAACACAGGAAAGGCATGTCTTCACAGCGGCTCACATTTGTTTCGTTTTCGCAGAGGGGCTTGATAGAAGCTTTTCTTCGACCTTTGCTCTGCGAAAAGAGGTCGTTTTGTTTAAATCCTTTCCTCTTGGCGCTTTCTCCAAGGCCTGGCCCCAAGAGCAGCCAGGCGCTCCGGCGGCTGGGCCGAATGGCCATGTCTTCCAAGCTGTCCGGAACCAGGCACTTTGGGTGCAAGTGGAAAGGCATATATACTGTATAGTAAATAGCTTCTAATGGCTTCTTGTTACTAGAAGGGATATATACGGAGCTTTTGTTTTTTTCTGCACAGCAGATACGTGCCATGGTGGATCTGGTGCTGTCGCAGATTCTTATCCGAGGCGAGGCCTTAGCCTGGGCATCGCAAGTGCAGGACTCGCAGGCAAGAATGACATGGAATGCCATTCCTTAAGTCTTACTTGAAACAATCTTTTTCATGCTCGTCTTTGTTCTCGAACAAACAACGTGCTAGCTTTGGCAGTGTCTCTTTCAGTCTTGTGTTCTAAGAACCAGCGTAAGACAAAGACGATCCCACGGTTGCTCTGAAGCTTTGGGGAATTCTTGGATCCACGCGAAGTTGGAGGACGCCCCAGCCCAAGGGGCCTAAGCTCGAGTGGCTTGTCTAGGACCTGCTGCACAAAGCTTACCACCAGATTCATGCCCTTCAATCTAACAATGAAGCAATGCAGGCACAGAAAAGCCAGGAAGTGCCTCATAGTTTTTGCCACAGAAAGCAAGCCCATTTGGTTGCAAATTAAGCAGGTCAGGTAGTGTTGATTTTGCGACATCTCCACTTTGCTCCGCTCATATCATTCCCAACTTGGAGGCACATGAAGCCACGCCGCAGGCCCTGCCACTGCGGAAGCCCCGGCTCCTGCCGAACCTATGCGACAGCTCTTTCGGGTGGCGCCTGCAGCGAGTGGGTCAGCCCCCAAGAAGCTGTCGACACCTGGGTTGACAAATGGTGGACCTGGAGGATGGAATGCGAGGTCTGATGATGGAGAAAAAACACTGGTCTCTTTCTGGTGAAGCCTTCGCCCACTTTGGTGCAACTCCAAACCTTTAAGCCACCACTTGGGAACACTACAGCGGGGCATGCGGAGTTTTGAAATATACTCTCGGACTTTTGCAGAGCAAGCAGCAAACTGCCTGTGTCTGTGTTGCAGTGTCTCTGCGATGTCGCGAGGTTTGAAGCCGTTATCGTGGGCCGCCCCGGTGGGTTTCAGGAACACAGGGTCCCCGCATATCCAAACCTCCAGAGTATAGTCCACTGGGGGGACACCATGGGTTTGGGGTCTTTGACGAGCTTCCCACGCCATTCTGAGGAGGACCTCAAGTGAGTTCCCTCAAGAATTAGCAGATGACTGTGATGTCGTGATCCTGGGGGAGCATCACAACAGCAGCAGTGACCACTCCATGGAAGCGGACTTCACACGAGAGTTCACGAAGGATGGGCCGAAAAGTTCTTGGAGTTCAGATGGGTTTGGCTGAAACTAAACTTGGCTGATTAAATTAAATCATTCTCTTGCCTTGCATCCAACCTGCCTGGCAGTCGAAGAACAAAGCAAAGCGGCCAACAGATTTTGGAATAAATTACATGACTGTGGGGTCAACACCTGACACTCCCAATAACGATGAAATGCTCATGAGTTTCTGGTGGCTTCCAGCAAACGTTTTTCTTATTTTTTTTCAGCCATCCAAAGAATCAAAAAGAATTGAAAAGGAGCCGGCTCCCGACTTCTAGAGTCCTTTGAGTTCCAGAGAAGCATGCTAAGCACCATGGCTTTGGTTGGAGCTTCTAACCAGCCCGTCCAAGTGCAACCTTTTCCGGCCTGTGGCGTAGGACACAGTGTTGATGGAGACACACTCACGGAACCAGGAAATCTTGGAGGGGTTTCTGACTCCGAATTCAGACCTCGTAAGGATCTTGTACCGGACCATTCTGTCCACCTACACATGAGACTCCACATTCTTGAGGAGCGGGGCCGGCGTGCAGGCATTCCGCCAGCGGTGGGGCTGGAGATGGTGGAACAACAGTTTCAGCCAATCTTGGACAGCTTTGGCCGGGGAGAGATGACTGACACTTGGCGAACTCGTACAGGTTTCTTTTGCGGGAGGGAAAGGGAGTGTCCCTTTCTCCTTTCACCTAGGATGTACTGTAGAAGGAGTCCACTCTTTGTTTTTTCTGAAATGCCCCATGAACACTGTGCGGAGCAGTTCCCTTTTCTCACATATTGATCCTCCCCCAGAAGAATTTGCTTTTCTATTGCCTCGTTAGTGCTTTCCACTCACTAATCTTATATCCGAAAGAACTGGTGCTGGTCCCTTGCTTAGTGAGTCACCCGGATTTTTCCTCTGGGCACTTGTTTGATTACATGAGCTTTGGTAGTCCGTCCAGAGGAGAATTGGTGCAGCACACAGCACGGAGTGGCACGGAGGGGAAAAGTCGGGGCAGTTTAGCCTCACATTTGTGCAGTTTTACACTCGCTGTATATGGTTGAACATGGATAATTCCCACCCCCTAATCCATTCTGACAAGGGGAGGTCCGGAGCCTCCAAAGATGTGTGCCAAAAGAGTTGGTTTGCTTTCGACAAGCAATTTACCAGGGATTGGTCTCTCAAGCTACCTGAGCTCGAGTCTATGTTTGTCATGTGATTAGCATTGAAAACTATTGATGGAAGACATCATTGAACACTGAGATGGGAAGCGTCCTACTGTGGTTTCGATCTTCCATCAACAGTACTTCAACCCGAGTTGGCCTGGCACGAGGTGAAGGACTTGTATGAAGCCACGGAGTGGTCCAAAAGATGGGTTTGGCCTTTCGATTTGCCGCTGGAAATGCAACCAGTGTTTGACCACCTAATCATCGCTGTATGTTTTGGTGTGATCCCTTTGTCATGCAAGTCTTGATCTCACAGCGGTAGCAGCTTTATCCAAACCTGTGCAAATGCGTTGATGAATGCGCACATATCCAGCATGTTAAATTCAGGATTTCCTAGTCTGCACATTTGTGATCCTTTGTGCGATATTTTCCACATGTGCAGCTTTGGTACACCTGTAAACAAAACACTGCTCTCAACCTCATCATTTTGCAGACTCGAAAGTGAGTGAACTGTTTATTCATGACATGTAAATGGTGGCCGTTGTTTGTCACATGGTGACCCTCGTTCGTTCCCTCATGTCTAGGATTCTCAGTCTGATGGATAGAGGAACAAGAAGGTGTTTGTCAAGGAGGCCCTTATGGAAGGGGGCCCACTCCTTTTCATTTTTTCTACCTTCCAGTCTTCTTTCACCTGCTGGGTGAGGTATGCGCCAGTCTTCGAGGCAGCACGGCAGAACGGATCCCCGCTCGTGGCGCTGAATCCGGCGACAGAGGTGGCTTCAGTGGGCAATTAGAGATTGAGTAGGGTAGGCGGTAGGCAGGACTCGGCAGGACATTTCTCTATGTGGCTGTCGGTGTAGAAGTGCTCTTTTCGAGTTGTGTTTGTGGGCGTTGCTGGGACATATATCTAGATTCCGTCTGAGAGATGACGGTGGTTGATTTCCTGAAAGGTCTGGCCCAATGATGTGGACAGGGCGTGAATGCCGATTTTACAATGGGAACAATGAATGTGTCCGATTTGGGAATGCGACCCTACCTACCCTACCTAAATAGATCCAACAAAAGAAAAACAACATATATATATATATATAAATACATAAAACGATATATACATATAAACAATTTTCTGTTCTTGTGCTGTGAACTGGCAACAAACGCCATGAACTGTTAGACCACTCCTCCATCAGTGGATCTGCCCTCGACCACAAAGCTGAGTCTCATTGAATCCGCAGAGGGTGGGGAATTTTTTCTGGCAATTCCTGCCAGGTGCGTCGCCGGCTACCTCTTGAAGGCTTGAGAGCACTGACACAGGAGGATCGTGGCTTGCGCCTTGGAAGACCTTGGACGATTGACGTGATTTTGGTTGAGGTTGAAGATGAACAATTCTTCGCTGAAGAAGCTCCAACTAGCGGATACAATAGTGGGTTGAAGGAAGGGAGGTTTCACAGCAAGAGCATGGTGTGAATCACCTTTTGGCCCCTCTGCTCTATCCCCAGGAAAGGGAACGTGGATCAATATTTCAAGCATTTGTTCTAGAACTGGGAGCCTGGGGAGATCTGCGGAGTTTCTTCAATGTAACTGAGTGACAGACCCTGAATTGCACTGCAGGTTTGAGAAGTCTGAGATGTCTACAAGGTTTTGCAAATACTTTCAAGTGAGGTTGACCAATTGTCCAAGACACCATGAACCATTGACAAAACTGTCCTTGTTCAATCACTGTATTCTCTATCTATGGTGTATTTGTGATGATTGAAGTTGAAGAGGCCAGCCGCGGCCAGCCTTGGGTCTTGGGGTTTGCCTCTTGGGGAATGACGTGACCGCCAAAGCTTCTTGTTTGACACCATTGGTTGCTGTCCTCATATAAACTCAGACATGCCCTTGTTACAGCAAGTCATGTCCGGTCCAAACAAAGACTCATCCTTGACATCAACTGGTGAGTGTAGGCGGATCAAGCGGGCTCTTTACCAAGCACAGCATCCTGGTGAGCAGAAAAGACATGGACAGATGAATTGGTGAACCCAAAAGCTGCTGGCTCGACAACCCCTGCGAGCATCTGTTTTTGGGTCCCCGGCTTGTTTGGGATCTCGAACAAACTTGAGCCGAACCATGAGCTCTGCAGAGATTTTGGCACCATGGCAGTCCCAAAAGCCTTGTTCAGGACCTCGTCACCATTGGGGACACATCTGTCACCCTTTTTTGTTGGGGGAGATCCATTTATCAGATCTTGTTACCAGACCTTGGGAACCCCCGCATTAACCTTTCCGGCATCGGCCGACGAGGTACCTCCCAGATGCTGTCGGGTTTGCGGCCACTTTGCGTGAACCAGCCTTTCGGAGCTATGCAGACCTGGTAGTGATGCCCAGCTACGACACGCATGTGGCTGGGGAATGGCTAGGCCGGGCAGTGCGGGAATGTGGGATTCAATCTTTAGGATGGTGGCACCAGAGGATTTTATGGCGGCTAGTATACTTCTGGTGGCTTGAGGCAATAATAAGAAGGCTCATACCGCCAAAGAATGAACGCCATACCCAAGTAAGGAAACTGCCAAGTGCGACCAGTGTTTCTGGTTGTGCATCCAATGAGGGCTTGGGACGAAACATAAGGACACCTTGCACTATGTTGGAAGTGGCCAGAACTGGTTTGCAAGTTCCTGTGCATTGCCTCACAACTATGTCAACTTTTTTGCTTAGATGCTACGAGTCATCAGTTATAAGACAACTACCAACCAGGAAGGTAACTAGTAGTATGCCCATTCAACTTCCACTCACATGCTTTCCGCATTGACTGAAGTTACTCGTGCACAGGGATACTGTGGACTCTGCACGAATCGGACATTCAGCCGGGTAGTTCATCGACAAGCCGCGATGAGTCGCACTTTTCCTTTTTCCCGTGACGTCGTAGGTCTTTGAAGCTTCTTAGTAATAACGCTTTCTAGTAACTAGAAGTGGGAATGGTTTCACTGGGAGTCGTTTCACAACAAGATCGTTTTCTTTTGGTTTCATTGATTCGTGTCTTCCAATGTGAGCTGCCCAGCCAGCATGCGCGAGGGACATGATTCTGCAGTCGTCTGGTTAGTCGGAGGCAGCCGTGACGAGACGGTGGCGACGCCCCAGAACTTCCTCAGCGCACGCGTCTTCAGAGATGAGGCGGGAGGTGGGGACCGTGACGTGAGGCAGAGGTGGTCTTTCGACAAAAAATAGATGAGAGAGTGAATGCTTTGATAGTTTATTGTTATTTTTTTTGATTCTTTTTCTTTTTGAGGCTTTTATTTTTTACAGGGGACCTGTACATTTGTTGAGATTGTTGAGGACCTTTTTAATTCATACACTTGAGATTTAGCAAGTTGTTAAAGAGCACTTCAAGATAGATCCATTTGTTGAAAGTATTTATATATACTTTATTTTATTACTATTATATATATATATATTGATTTAACCAGGCTAACGCCTGGCAGCCGCCGACCCCCAGGCAAGTGGATGGCCTAGGTTTAATGGGTTAAGAGTTTTTTTTTTTTAAAAATCGGGGAACCCGAAAAACAACACGGAACCCCTAGAGACATGATCTGTCACTGCATCACCAAAGTATGCAGAAGAGAGCACGGCAAATGGGTTAGCATTTTTCTTTGAAAATCTGGGAACCCAAAAAACAACACGGAGCCCCTAGACAACCACAGAACTATCTAGAAAAACCAGAGAAAATCCTGGAGAAACCCTCGCAAGAGGCATGAAAGGCATGAGTAAATCTTAGAAAAGCCTTAGGAAATCCTAGAAATCCAGCGGAAAGCGTTTGCAAATGGAGGAAAATGGGTTAGCATTTTTCTTTGCAAATCTGGGAGCCCAAAAATCAACACGGAGCCTTTAGAAGTACCTAGACAAGCCAGAGGAAATGCTGGACAACACCCTCGCAAAAGGTCTGAAAGGCATAAGTAATTCTTACAAAAACCTTTGAAAATCCTAGAAGTCCAGCGGAAAACGATAACAAAATCTAGGAAAAACCAATGGCACTGGCAGGGACCAGGCCGCGACCAGCCCGGGATTCGAGCCCGGCACCATTTAGGGACCGTGCTCATTTTCCCGCGCGGGTGGAGAGGGTGCCCCAATCCCCAGTAAGAAGCAAACCAACACATTTGGCAAAATCTTGGACACATCTTGCGCAAATCTTGCACAAATCTTGGACAAATCTCGGGTACTTTTCGTCACTGCAACAAGGCTCCGGAGGGGTAGGGGAGGTATAGCCTTAGCCTTCGTAAGTATAGCCTTAGCCTTAGCCTTTAGCCTTAATCAAAGCCTTAGCCTCCATCAACAGTCACGCCTCATTCGACGAGTGGGGTCGGCGGATTAGAAACTGTAGAAAAACTAAAGACACTAGCAAGGAACAAGGCCGCGAGCAGCCCGGGATTCGAGCCCGGGGACCGTGCTTATTTTTCCGCGCGTGTGGAGAGTAAAACTGACAAAACCTTGGAACATCCTAGAAATCCAGCAGACAACGTTAGAAAATCGAGGAAAATGGGTTAGTATTTTTCTTTGAAAATCTGGGAACCCAAAAGGACAACACGGAGGCCCTAGACAAGCAGAGAAAATCCTAGAACAATCCTCGCACAAGGTACGAAAGGTATGAGTAAATCTTACAGAAACCATAGAAAATCCTAGAAATCCAGCGGAAAACGTTAGAACATCGAGGAAAATGAGTTAGCATTTTTTCTTGAAAATCTGGGAACCCAAAAAACAACATGGAGACTTTAGACAACCACAGAACTACCTAGAAGAACCACAGAAAATGTTGGAAAAAACTCCGCAAAAGACCTGAAAGGCATGAGTAAATCTTGCAAAAACGGTTGAAAATCCTAGAAATCCAGCGGAAAACGTTACAAAAGCTAGCAAAAACCAAGGGCACTGGCAGGGACCAGGCCGCGACCAGCCCGGGATTCGAGCCCGGGACCATTTAGGGACCGTGCTCATTTTCCCGCGCGGGTGGAGAGGGTGCCCCAATCCCCAGTAGGAAGCAAACCATACATTTGGCAAGAACTTGGACACATCTTGCGCAAATCTTGCACAAATCTTGGACAAATCTCGGGTACTTTTCGTCACTGCAACAAGGCTCCGGAGGGGTAGGGGAGGTATAGCCTTAGCCTTCGTAAGTATATATAGCCTTAGCCTTAGCCTTAATCATAGCCTTAGCCATCAACAGTCACGCCTCATCCCACGAGTGGGGTCGGCGGATATATATTTTTAATTTTGTGGAAATTTATGATTGCGTATTTTTGCTACAATTTATCTTTATTTTGTGACAATTTTCGTGAATATTGCAAACCGTATGGTTTGCAAAGACCGAGCACCCGAAGTATTCATATCAGACTGGGCATTGGGGCATTCGCATTTTTTATCAGGCTTGGTGGCATGGCCCTTAAAAAGGCGAGAGCTGCACTCTAAGTGGTCAGGTATCAAGAACTGAGCAATGCCTGGGTCAGCTTGTGTCGTCCTTCACCTGGAACTCATGGACGCACAGGCTGCTTTTTTTTTACATCTGCGCTGTGGGGCAAAACACACCGAGTACTTCCTCATAGACATCCAAAAATTGATCGCCCGTTTGGGCAACAGACTTTGATGGCTTGGCAGCCAATCCTGAATTCCATCACATTCCTGGCTTTCACTCATGAGATCGGGTCACGTCCTTCATTCCCCCTCAGTGCCAACGACGCGAAAGACGAGTGCTCGTTGAGCCGTGCCGAGCTGTCCCTGGCCAGGCCATGGCCTATGCAGCCTGGCGATATCTGAACAAAGACCAGCGCCGTGGCATGCTGCTGATCGTTGGCTGTGACCATGCAACTTGGTTGGATATGTCCCACTCTCTGGTTGTTTGGTGCAATTCCCACTAAATCAGGGGTCCCGGTCTTGGATGGCATTTTGTGCGTGACAATCTGTGCCCCAAACTGTGTCCAAGGCTGTTCTTCAATTCTTTCTAGTGAACCAAGTGTTGTGTTTTTTCCTCTTTGGCGGGCTCCAGCACCAATTCATGGTTGTCCCAGAAATTTTGTGACGGTTCATGGAGTTTTCTTGGCCGAATAAATGGAAGAGGAGCTTTCCATGAGCTGGGGATGTGAACGTGGTGGAAAAATCTGGGGACAAGAACTCCTGCTGTTTGCCACGCATCAAAGCAAGTAGATTTTCAGGGAGACGATAGTTCTTCAAGTCGATCTTAGAGAGAGAACCGATGATTTCAAGGCTTACGCCCAAGATGGGGCCGGGCAGGCAAGCAGGGCAGGCGCAGGCGCAGCTTATCTTTTTCTCTTGCTCTTTCTCTTTCTACTCCATTTTTTTTTCCTTTCGCCTTCTCTGGCTCTTTCTCCTGTTTCTCTGTGTCTCCCTTTTCTCGTCCTCTTTCTCTGCCTCTTTTCTGTCTCTTCCGCTTTCGCATCGTCTTGCTCTGTTTACCCGGTCTCTTTCCCTTGCGCTGTCTCTTTTTATGGAAGAGGAAGAGAAGGAGAGCAAGAGCAAGCAGAAGCACAAAATACTATTAATGCAAGGTCACTCCGGCAGGATATTTGGCACCACGGGGCATTGAAAACGACCTCACATCCATCAACATATCCATCGTGAAACTATATGTTGGTCCACCGTTCACCGGAGTCCCTCAACAGGCACACGCCGGCTCCGCTCCGCTCAGGCCTAGGCCGCGGTCGGCGGATTTCACGCCTAGACCTTCATGACCTCCAAGCAAAGAATTCCCAACTCGTGCTCAGTCGACTCAGTCTGATTCTCCTCGAAGCCTTCACCCTTCGGTCACCCAACTGACAAGGTGAGATATGACTTTGGCATCCCTGCACGGCTGAAGCGCTTGGGCTCTGGAAGCACGCGTTGGCAGGCAGAAAGGCCAGAGAAGTTGGAGAAGTTGCCTTTATCTGCTTGGATGCGTTTGGATGCTTGGGATGAGTTGCCTCCAACACTCCCCCGACCTTAAATTAATCTCAGTAGAAACTAGTAACAAGGCACGTTACTACTAGTAACAAGAAGGTACTGGTAGCTCCCAATTCTCACTCAAATCCAGTGCCTCCGATAGAATCCGATACAGGCGGCAAGGTCTCTGACTGCTGAAGGCTGGGTGTTCATCGAAGTTCAAAAAGGCCCCGGCTTAAGATTTAAACCGCAACCGGTGGAAACGCAGGGGTCCATGCGGACCCGAGCCGCGCATGGAGGCCGTTGCTCCTGCATTCCGCGAAGTCGGCGACCAGTGCGGTTCAGGGGCAGCTGGCGGCGGGGGAAGTGTTTCAAGCAGAGGCAGATGGGGAAGCGCTGAAGCTGCAGGAGATGACATGGGTGTGGATTAGAAGCAACCAGTCTGGCCCATTGGTTGACCGTCAGCCAAAATGGCTGGGTGCCCACAACCAGACAGCCTCGTTCTCAAATGTCCTCATGGTTGGCCAAGGAAATTTATTTTCCCGCGTCGTGGCTGTGAAGGTCCCCCCCCCAGTTGCTTTAGGAAAAGAAGCTCTCAACCTGGCTTTGCTGATGGGTTCCGCCAGTTTATTCAAAAGAACAACGCCCGGTTCTTTGCTCCTAAATTGGTTTCCCCATTCTTGGATGGTCTCCTCAGAATCCTTCTCAAGAAAGCAGACCGTTTTTTGTTGACAGCGGGATTCTCCAATGCTTTCAAGAGAACAACACTGACCCCATTGTTTGTTCACATGCTCTCGTCATTTGTCAGTTTTCATTCTCCGTGAAACTGCCCCGTGTTGTCAAGAACACAACACTGTTTTTTGCAAGTTCATTTCCGCCTACTTCATTTTGGGACTTGCAGGTGCCTTTCCTTTCCGATGGTTCATGTTTTCAAATGACACACCTGACACCCACATCTAGTCTTTGCGAGTGGGTTTCACATAACAAGGCAACCCAGTCGTTGTGAATGTGTTTGTTCCCAATTTTTCTGGGAACATGCTCTTTTTGTTGCCAGTGTGTTACCCAACATTTAAAAACAACAAAAACAAATCCCGTTGTGTGTTCAGAGTGTGCTCCTAGCCTAGCTGTTTTTGTGCAACAAACTTTGTTGTGTAATGAACAGTTCTCATGTTCAATTCCTGAGATTGCTTTGGTCCTCAACTCCTCAATGGTATTCATCAGCAGGTTTTTTTTCCTTCGACTTTGCACGGGACACAGACCACAGACTCTATAGACTATAGATGACTATATAAACTGTTTAGTCTGAAATGATAATCAAAACAAGTGTCACTCTTCAGAAAGGCTACCAATTTTGTTTGCCAGCTGAAGAGAATCAAATTTGGGGTTCTTGGACCCAGAGTGATTAAAGAACACACGGTACATAACCGCCAATAGGACCCTATTGGACGATATTTCGAGGTTTATCCCCCATAAGCGCCATGACCATGCGCGTGCCAGGACCAGCGCGGTTTCGTGCTGCCGGACAAGGACACTGGTGCTTTCCCATGCTCCTTGGTTGAGGGCCGCAAGCTGAAGATCACCACGGTGCTGCTGAACCCCACTGCCCAGGAAGGCAGGATGCATCGCGCAGCGGCGCGGATGGTTGGTCGACGATCATCTCGAGGTGTCTTTGCGTGTGTTTGTCACCTCATCAGTCAAGTTGGTCATTGGAAGTGAAAACCAACATGGTCTTCCAGCGTCCTATTTTCCATTTCCATGTCAGTGAGTCAGAGCATGAAACACTATTTTGTACAAATGGGATGGCGTCAAACTATAGGCCATAGCAATCAAAACAATATCGAGCCTTGCAAGGAGCATGAGCGCTCTACCACCGTTAGATCAGAATGGGATCCTTGTAAAGGACATGTCCTTCACATCACCCTCAGCACAAAAGCGTGGTTTTGTATCATAAACATGCATACACCAAATATGGGTTTGGTTCTTAGGAGAATTTGCAACTTGGTCCAGTAAATATAGATCAAGGTCCTGTTGGGTATGAACTTGTGCCCTAAAAAGAAACCAACGTCCTAGATCGAAACCTGTGTCCTAAATAGACACCAATAGTCTCCAAAACGAACACAATTTTTCTCCTACTCTGTGAACAAATGTGTGGTTTATGAATAGAAACCTTGTCCTAATGTGACACTCATTCCTTGAAGTATGCTTTATGTTATTCTTGAAGCATTTTATGCCGTGCTTTTTGTTTCAAAGACCATCACCCTTCTAACTTTGCTTAAACAAGGCTATGGCGTAGTTAGACCCGGAGTCTTTTTCGCGATTGTGCCAAGGGTGGTGTTGGTTGAACATGTTAACACATTGAGGTTTTTGGCGATTTCATTTTTGGTGTCAAGAACGTTGTGTTCTTGAAATACTGTCTTGATGACTCAAGGGCCGCACCTGTTTTCCTAGCTTTCGAGATCAAAAGCCTTCGGTGTTCACACCGTCTGTCATGAGACTCCCCCTTTCGCTGCTAGCGAAACATCGGGAAAAAAGGACACTAGGCTCAAGGCTTTCGTCCAGCCGAGCTTTTCCAGTACTCGGCTCTCATTCGGTCCATTGACCAGCCTTTCCCGGCGTTCATCTTCTGAAATCGGTTCCACGGATTCGTAGGAACCTTCTCAGCCAGTTGGCTGTTCGTGGAAACAGGCTTTTCTGCAGCCCTTTGCAGCCTCTCAGACACTACTTCAGCGCTTTCGGCAGCACGATCAGCTGCATTGCCGCCCTCAAGGCGTTTCGAGCAGCCTTTTCTGCTTCTCCAGCTGCTTCTGTCACGGCCTGGATGGCCGAAATGCCAGGCGACGATGGCTCTTCTTCTTGCCTTTCCCAGGTCTGATTAGACCTTCGTCGCAAGGTTTCAGGTGCTGTTGATGCCTGTCCAGCACCACCTTGCCACTTCAAAATCCTCACCATAGAGCTCTTCCGGATCGTAGCATCTTCATTCTCCCCAATCTCGGGGACATGCTCTTCTTCTTCATAGTCCGTGGGGGTTGCATTGTCCCACTCCCCTGCACAGCTTGCAGGCCTCAATGCATGGGTTGCTCCCGAATCCAAGAGGACCATCATGGCATTGTTGTCATAGTCCAGTGGCTCACCTTGATCACACGCAGCTGGGGAGCTCTGAGCGACTTCAACAATTTTGTCGCCTCTTGAAGCAAGACTTCACTCGTTGTGGCTTTGGTCACTGTCCCATCTCCAGGTTCACCATGCGGCATCAGCCCACCAGCGTCCATCTCCTGAAGCTTGGGCGGTGTTGAGGTAGTCGTTGAGGTCGACGAACCAGGGCCAGTCGTTTTGGAAGCATTGCCCTTTCCATTGCCCTTTCCTCCCCCTGAACCTGCGCCAGGTTCACCAGCAGACTTGCCCTCCTTGTTGGAGCCCTTGGGTGGTTGGCCTTTCAACTTGCACTCTGACTTGCGATGGTCTTTTGCCCCACAAATCCAACATCGAGCGTTCTTGTCCTCCACCCCGTTCCACGAACGCGACCGCTTGCAATTTTTTCCAGTTTTGCATCCCGTGTCGGAGCGGAAGTACCTGCACGGCTGAACCGCCGTGGAAATACCCTTGCCCTTCTCCATGGAGCCACCGGAGGTCGCAGTTGCCGCAGCTGGAGCTTCCATCTGCTTGACCTTAATAGGTGAGGGCGTCGCGATGGGTGCATTGATCATCAATGACAGCGTCTCTGCCTCAGCTAGCAGACATTGGCTGAACCGCCAAACATCCTGAAGATGAGGTCGTTGGTCGATCCCAAGCTGCAGCCGGCTCTGAGCCAAACGGAAAGCTGCCTGACAGTCCTGAGCTGCAATCATCGTACAGGCTGGCTCCAAGGCTGCCAGCAACAGAATGCCATCAGGAAGCACTGCATCGATCTCACCAGCCCTGGCAAAGTGGCGTCGCCAGGACCTCAAGGCTGCTGCAAGTTCGGTGACCGTGGCTCTCTTGTCCAAAACTGTCAACTTTGAAAGCAAAAATAGCCTTCTCGCCAGAGCCACCAGGCTGGTACCTCACCAGCAAGCGAAACAGCAGTGCCGTGGAGTTCAACTCACGGGCGGAGATCAAAGCCGGCTGTTGGTCGGCCGGAATGGCCCTCAGAAGCAAATTCACTCCCCTCTGTTCAGTCCTCTGGTAGCCACCGTCCAGCAGCTCATCCGACAAGCGAGGATTGATTTGCACTCGCTCCAAAGGTGATGAAATCTTCCACCTTTCATAGAAACATTGAGCCTCCCGCAAAGTCAGATTCCACCATCTGGCACTGACCTGGGAGATGTCCCGAAGGACGGGGCCACAGACTCCCAGCCAATCGCCAAGCTCCAGCGGCGAGGCGTCTGCCGAAAGCTCAGCGAGCTCTGCCTTGCCATTGGCCGTTCCTTCATTCCATGGCAACGGAACCGGAGCGGGACTGTCCGCACCACGCCAACGGCCATAGTTTCCACCAGATGGGTCATCATGTGGAAGACCTCCATCTCGACCGCCTGGATTCATGCGACCATTGGCTCCACTTGCAACGCCATGAAGATCGTGGCCACTTAGAAATGGATCAGGTGCACGTCGACCAAGTAGTTCTTCCCTGGCAACATCTCTGGTGGAGGCGCTGGTGGTGCTTCTTTGGAGCCCATGGCCGACTGCCAGATCGTAGCTCCATCTTGCATCTTTTGAAGCGACATCTTCAAACCTTGCACCTCGTTCTCAAGTCGATCAGCGCGATCGTCTCTTGCCAGGAATGTCTTCCCTTCTCTCAAGCTTGCTGGAAGCCATTGTTCATCTCCACGACCGCGACGGCGTGATTCCAGCCATTCGTAGCCCTGCAGGAAACTAATTTCAGCTGAGTCACTGGTGGGAAAAGGCGGCAACGAAGCATCAGGAGGCGGCCCAGGTGCGACCTTGGCGCCGTTCGGAGTGAACTTCGCACCCTGCTCATGCCGGAGCCTTCTTGTAGTCGGACTTCGCCCCCTTGGAGCTCCTTCACCCCCACGCCTTTTGGGCTCATAACCCTTGATGACTCAAGGGCCGCACCTGTTTTCCTAGCTTTCGAGATCAAAAGCCTTCGGTGTTCACACCGTCTGTCATAAGAACTGTATTTACAATATTTTACAACATTCCAGGTCGTTTTTTCATCCTCCCTAGTCAGGTTCTGCCTTCAATTTCTGGTTTCAGGGGGGATGCGTTTTTCGTAGCAGTTTTGTTGCTTTGTTTTGTTCTCGTGTTTGTTAAACATCACGTCTTGTGATTGGTGTTCCCAGTCAGGAAGCGTGTTCAGGGTGTTTCTTTTTACGCGGTGGTCACAAGTCTTTTTGACTTGAAGTGTCGCTTTTTGTATTATGTTTTTCTGCTTATATACATAAACAAGTCTTTTGTGCTTCTCACTCTGACATACATGCAGTGGGCGGCTCCCATATCAAGCAATCTGTTTTTTTCTCAGTGGCGCATCGCCTTGCGACAGAGCTCTCCCTCTGCCTGCCACTGATCTTTGGTCGCATTGTTGCAAAAGATCCGGGATTTCACCTACAGCATCAGCCTGTGTCGATGTTGCAGGCGTGGTCCTTCTTGCTATGTATCGTTGAAGGCATGTGACATCATTTTCGAAGCACATCCAAACCAACGTCATTAGCCTCCCACCAAATCCCAATCCCCACCAAACATATCAAACATCAACCCTTTTGCATACCTACTAATGTCATCCAAGCCGAAAAACACAATTTCTTCTGGGGTCGCAAACAACGCCGTTGGCGTAAAGAAGAATTGTCCATCCCCTGCATGTAACTTCTTGGAATGCAGCAATAGAAGCTTGCTATTCATTGCAATGACTTAACTCCTCTATATCAACACAAGGAACATCAGGCTAAAAACATTTGTGTTGATAAGGCATTTGCTTAACTTAAAAGCGAAGTTGTCTGCTTGTAAGCAGCATCACCAGAACCTTTTGAGGTGTCCATAAAACCAATCCAAATCCGTCACAAATTAAACAAGTAAGTGGAGAGGGTACCAAAATACCAAAGCTTTCGCGCCGATGTGTTGGTCATGTCCAGAGATGGACCTGAACAATTGGTAGATTTGTATTTTGGGACCCTCTCCAGGTTTCTGCAAGGCTGCATCGGTTAGGATTGGCTTTGGTTCCCTTTGAGGTGTAAGCTCGTTTGTATTCGTGTCAAATGGTGGGTGGTTGCTTCAGGCTGTTCATAAGCAAATAGACGTGCATATGATATAAGCAAGAAGAAAGCATGCCCGTTTTGATGCTGATTCATTTGATGCGGAGGTATGGACCAACTTTTTCGCTGTTGATTCATAGCTGACAATGAATTGTGATATGCATACATGTGGTACTTTGCTCTTGATACTTGTGCACGTACTTCAAGTTTCCAAAAGTACAGGTATCAGCAGGTCTCTCTCTCTCTCTCTTTCTCTCTCTTTCTGTACTATATATGTATATTAGCATGTAAATTTAAAAACGTAACTATATATATATGTATAACTATATGTATTTCTATATGGACACCCATGATCTACTTAGAGTTGTTTTCTGTGGGCTTGCCCATACAAAAGCTATGGTGTGACCCTATCAGAAATCAGTGGTCCTCATCAGCTGACGACTACCCATGCGTTTTTGAAAAAGGTGCAAAGACCTGCCATTTTACAAAACATATATATATATTAAACTGTACAGGAAACCCTCATTTTTAGCATTGGGGAGCAAACAGAAAAAACAAACACAACAGTTTTCTCGTGCAGTTTGTTTTTGGCTTTTGTTTTTGTTTTGTTGTTTTTTGGTTTGTATTTCTTTTAGACATCCCTTATTTGTTGCTTTCGAACTAAAAAGAACTACTATGCATATATTGTTGCATGCTTTTTGTTTTTGTTGGTCAAAAATGCACAGTTATCAAACAGTCTAAAAACAGCAGGGTTTTAGCACAAATCCATTTGAATTGTAATGATTCCCGTCTACATTCTCTTTGATTTTAATCTCTTTCCATATAAATTCCTTTTGGCCCCTCTTGATTTGCCATTAAGTTGTTTAATCAGTTTGGGTTAGACCATACACTAGAAATCTTGCATAATAGAACTTAAACCCCTACAATAGTGTCTGCCCTGTTTGGCCTCAATAATACTGTAACATCTCCTACAATGACGCCTACGTCTTTCATTTTTAAGAGCTTTATTTGTGAACTCCCTTTTGAAAACTTTTTTTCTATCGATTCCCTATGTATTTATTTCCTTTCCTCTTGATTATATTTTTTAAAACTCTTTTATCAAGTTGCTTTATTGTTACTGTTATTTCTTTTTTATTTTCTTATTACCCTGTGGAAAACTAACATCGACCCTGAAAGCCACAGGTTTGTAGAGAAACACGGTCTTTCAGTGTCCCATTCAACCCGGGCCCACGTAACTTTTCGGGAGTGTAGATTCATCTTATCAAAATATCACAAGAAAACACTATTCCACAAAGGGGTTAGCACAGTGGCCCAGTATACAAGAAACCTTGAATAAGAACACCCTCTACATTAATGTCTGCCCCTTTTCGCTTTAATAATAACACGCCCCTGGATTAATGCCTACGTTGTTTTTCATTGTTCAATGATAATACCCTCTCAAATATATTGTTTGCACTTTGCTCTGGTACGACGATTGAATTCCTTTTGGTTCTTGTTGAGTTCTTTTGTTATTTTCTTGTTTAATCCCTTATCAAACTATATCACACTATTGCACAACTCTTTTCCACAAGGGGTTAGCCCATTACATTAGAGATCTAATAAATACAACTTTACCCCCTACAATAATGTCTACCCTGTTTGGCCTTACAAAAAAAATGTCACCTGCAATCACGTCTACGCTTTTTAGTCTTCTTTATCTTTATATTAGAGTTCCCATTTTAAACATTATGTGTTGATTTTATTGATTACTAGTTGAAATCTTTTTGTTTTGTTTTTCCCGAAAGCATTGCGAAGGGTTCTTCCGGAAAATCCTTTGAACACTGACACTTCGACACTTACACTTACACACTGACACTTCCACTACAGTCGCACTACATACACTGACACTTCGACATTGACACTTACACATACACACTGACACGCGGCAAGCGTGCAATGAGTAGGCAAGTGTGAGTATGGAAAACTAGCACGGGAGATGTCCTAATGAAAAAACATCCCCACTTTATAAATTCTCTCTTAAAGGCGGAGGGCGGGACGAACAGCGTCAACCGAAAGTGCAACCCTCTGCGGAGATCGTGCGTGTCGAATGCGCGAAATGCAGGCGAGAGTGCGATTTGCCGGCTGCGCGCGCAACCCTCTGCGGAGATCGTGCGTGTCGAGTGCGCGAAATGCAGGCGAGAGTGCGATTTGCCGGCTGCGCGCGCAACCCTCTGCGGAGATCGTGCGTGTCGAGTGCGCGAAATGCAGGCGAGAGTGCGATGTGCCGGGTGCCCGCGCAACCCTCTGCGGAGATCGTGCGTGTCGAGTGCGCGAAATGCAGGCGAGAGCGCGATTTGCCGGCTGCGCGCGCAACCCTCTGCGGAGATCGTGCGTGTCGAGTGCGCGAAATGCAGGCGAGAGCGCGATTCGCCAGCTGCGCGCGCAACCCTCTGCGGAGATCGTGCGTGTCGAGTGCGCGAAATGCAGGCGAGAGTGCGATTTGCCGGCTGTGCGCGCAACCCTCTGCGGAGATCGTGCGTGTTGAGTGCGCGAAATGCAGGCGAGAGTGCGATTTGCTGGCTGTGCGCGCAACCCTCTGCGGAGATCGTTTGCCGGCTGCGCGCGCAACCCTCTGCGGAGATCATGCGTGTCGAGTGCGCGAAATGCAGGCGAGAGCGCGATTTGCCGGCTGTGCGCGCAACCCTCTGCGGAGATCGTGCGTGTCGAGTGCGCGAAATGCAGGCGAGAGTGCGAGTTGCCGGCTGTGCGCGCAACCCTCTGCGGAGATCGGGCGTGTCGAGTGCGCGAAATGCAGGCGAGAGTGCGATTTGCTGGCTATGCGCGCAACCCTCTGCTGAGATCGTGCGTGTCGATAGCCACGCAAAGACTTTGGCTGACAACAGGCAGTGGAAGCCAGCTTGCTGGCTGCCATTGTCCAGATGGAAAGCCAGCACGTTGGCTACCATCATAGTTGAAGTGGGTAAGCCAGCACGCTGGCTGCCATCATAGTTGAAGTGGGGAAGCCAGCACGTTGGCTACCATCATGGTTGAAGTGGGTAAGCCTGCACGCTGGCTGCCATCATAGTTGAAGTGGGTAAGCCAGCACGCTGGCTGCCATTGTCCAGATGGCAAAGCCAGCACGCTGGCTGCCATCATAGTTGAAGTGGGTACGAGCCAGCACGCTGGCTACCATCATAGTTGAAGTGGGTAAGCTAGCACGCTGGCTGCCATCATAGTTGAAGTGGGTAAGCCAGCACGCTGGCTGCCATTGTCCCCTTACCAGCAGCCCAAATGCTCGCGACGATGAGCTGGGCTGTCACCGCTTGGCCGCCGGTGGGGGGTTTGGGAGGCCGCATCACACACAGACACCCACACACTCCCTCAACTTACACGAACACACACACATACGCAGACTCATTTCCACACGGACATAGACACACGCACAGAAACCCACACACTACCTCAACTCACTCGACTTCACACTTCTCACTGCACACTTACCGGATAACTCGCACTCTGACTTCCTACGTGATGAAAAATGCTTTCGGGCCACTCGTCGTCTAGTTTTTTTGATATCCTCTTAATTCCTTTTGAATTTCTTTGACTTCGCTTTCCGCTCTTTAGTTGACGTCTTTTTAACACCGTTTTTAAGTCTTGTCAAACGTATTGCAAAAATATTCCACACAAGGGGTAGCCCAGTACAGCAAAGCAGCTGACAAGCAGGAAAAGGTAGAAGAGCTGGGAAGTATGAAAAGTGGAAGAGCTGAAAAGCAGGAATGCAGGGAAAGGTAGAAGAGCTGAAAATCAGGAAAAGGTAGATCATGGGGGTGAGCATATATATATATAAATATTCATATATATATATATTCATATATATATATATATGTACATACACTGTATATACTTATCATCTGAGGTCTCAGGCCGTTTCCTTTTTGGTGAGTTGACATAATATATACATTCTACAGTATACACATATGCTTCTTATACATACTATCGAGGGGTCTTCAAGTGTTCACCAAGTACAGGATCTGACCTCTTCCAATCTCAGGCCTCGCGACCGGCGGACGCCCCCAATGGTACCTGCCGGCAGAGAACACCCAGGGCCCAGCGTTGGCAGACTATATTTGGGCAGAAGCCTAGGCTGGGTCAACAAGGTCGACTAAAGTCAGGGACGGTCTCTCAGAGTTTGGGACAAAATATGACCATGTGCATCCATGTGCCATGTTTGTTCTTTTGCAGCTTCGGATTGTGTGATGGATCTTGGGATCGGTCATGAGATTCCACAACTTTTGTTAAGAGAACCTCGGAGGTGTTTTGATCTCTGTGTTTTTGTATGAGTTTGGGGGCGGGATTGGGTGACTTAAGAGGCGTTTTGGATTTTGACTGCGGGTGCCAAGAGTCATACTTCCATGATTGGGTAAGCGATGGGATCCTTTGAGCTCCATAAGGGGCGATCATCCTTTCCAAGATTTGCCGTCCCTTAGTTCTCCAGTCTTCACACTCTTAACCAGGGTTCGCTAGCTTTGCAAGATTTCCTTGTTCGAGGAGCCCCCTGAGGCCCTCAAAGGTTATACCCAAAACGTGGAGCCCTCTTTCTCCGCAAAATGCCAGTGGCTTTCACGACTTTGCCATGCCATGAAACCACTCCAGTCGAGGGTTCAAACTTGCCTGGGCGGTTGCAACTCGAAGCTTTCGGACAGCCAGCAACCTATCGACTGGATCGACTGCAGTCAGGTTTTCATGAAGGTTGGAGCGGAATGATGAATTATAACCTTGCTTCACTACAGCCAGATCCTTGCTTCGCAGGTCTTGATGTGCGTGGCAGAAACTCACGCAGAATTGTGTCTGAATGAGCGAGGTGTCCTCTGCAGTGGTGTTCACAACAGACCTGGGTATGGTCAATATGAGGGGGCCCCAAGTGGATAATGCTTTGAAGATCTAATTTTCAATTCGAGTTTGCCCAAACTAGGGATCCACACAGCACAACCATATGGTTGTTTCTTGTTAAATTCCACACAGCCGAGTTGTCTTGAAGACTTAAGCTTGCCAAAACAACACGAAGCTTGAGCATGCTCGAACGCCATAGATTTGTAGAATTCATCGTTCCATTTTCAGGTTCCACACTCTTGTTTATTGATGTTTATTGTATAGTTCTTTCGTTTATTTGTATTTGATTCCACCACCTCTGGCTGTTTGCTGGGCCAAGGAGGATCGAAACCGGCAACCCTTAATTCCATCTATTTGCGTTGCCACGCCGACCAAACACCTTTGATTCAGTTACCGTTTGTTGTTGGTGGGGTTACAGACGCAATTTTTCCAAGTAGGTTTGACAGTCAAGACGAAGCAAGATTGTTTGCACTCGACACCGCAATATTCACCAATGACTCGACAAATTATTCACAAGCAGCCTGACACACAGGTGGTCCGTGCTCAAATAAGGCTCAACAGAGGATACTTTGCAAGGAGATTCCGCAACGAAACTGGTCAAAACAGGGAGTAGATCAGGTGGACAAGAATCACAAGGTAAATCATATCCACAAGTCCACCAGTAAGTTCCCTGTTTTAATCGATCTCTAAACTTGTAATTCCACGGCAGATTGTGATACATCCGTCGCGGAACTTGGATGTGTACAGTGTTACGAAGCACATTTTCGAGCCGCCAACAGAGAGCGTGCATCGTGCAGCCAGGAGACACCGAAGTCACAAAACTTTGTGTCAAACAACTGTGGTAGGGCCATCCCGTTGACTCTGAAAGAGAGAGAGAGAGAGAGAGGCCGATTCTGAGTGTATAGGTCATTACAAGTGTGGGCGACATCTGTGTGAGGTTTTTCATGTCTTTCTTGATCCATGTATCCCATAAACCAAAGGCACTGAAGTGGAACCAGGGGTCGCGTTGTGTCGCGGGACTTTCAAATCTTTGCAGAGCCTCAGACAGTCCAAAGGAATAGTTATGCATCAGCTGAATTTGGAATTGTCAGGGATCTCCAACACCAATAAATATTGAAACATATTGACAATAGGAACCTATTATCCTCCAATACACTACCATAGGTGTGGATCAAAACATATCAAAACCAACCCTGTGACCCAGAAGCACTTGTGCGACTGTCTGAGCGCCGCCACCATGCCAATTGTCTTCGCATAAGTGATTGTTTCTAGAAATGGGACAAATAGGTGTGGACGAAGTGAACGAGCGCAATTTTCCCGAAGATAGATGGGTCTTAAATGGATGAGTCATTCATGACAGGTTCCCAAAGGACCTGGAGCCTCCTGCCATGGCGGTCTTCAGCCCCAGACAGACCACACGGACCGGTGACTTCAGGATTGAAGTGGATCCAACACCCTTTCCGCAGTGGATGGTGAGTGTGCGATGGCCCAGGGGAGTTGAGCATTTTACTTTGACGGAGGTTTCCAGAACATGAGAGGCATGTTGAACAATGCGGTCTATTTTTCACATAGAACTTGACTGACCAGTCTGAGTAGAGGAGAATCGTCTTCTCCTAACTAACCACCTCTGGCAGTTTCAGTGTTGGTCTAGCGGTCAGCTTGCCCTCCGCTCCGGTGTTGTCGCGCTGAGATGATGCACGCCATCATGCCTATCTGCGGCTTCAGAGATCCTCATTGTTGGCCGAACTCCTGCAATCTCAACCTCTACGAGGACCGACTTGCAGCATTTGCCGAATTGGAAGCTGTCCCGGAGGGAAGGTCAACCGATCAGGCACACAACAAGGTACTGTAGTGGTTGTACATTCATGCAGGAACCAACCTTGGCTTGCGATTGAGCAACATGCGGCGTATTATTTGAGCTCTCAAGAACATTGCAACCAAACACTTTAAACCTACCATCTCAAACACCATCGAACCTTCACATCTGTCCAATTCCTAAACGGGGCGGCACAGCACATAACCAATTTGAGTATGACTTGGATCAAGCACCATCCCCAGAATGAAAGAAGAACAAGCGAGAACCAGTATGAACAATGACAATTTCTGTCATGCTCTGATATGTTGTAAGCATGTTCCGATGCTTGAGCATTTTGTGCAATTGATTTAGGATGGCGGCATGTCTGTGGGTTGGCACTCGGATGATGAGAGCCTCTTCCAAGGAAAGCTGGTGCCTGGACTCGAGAGGGGTCAGTAGACAAGCCTGCTTGCCAGCACATGTCTGGGCTTCAGAATGAAGGCATTTGTTCACACAGAGAAGCAAGTTTCCCTAAAAACCTAGGAACCAAATCATTAGCGTAAGCTATCCTGCGTCCAGTTACTAGAAGCTAACTAGTCGCCCTTACTTAATTAAGTAAGGGCGGGCTACAAAAAGGGAGAAAGAGAGAAAGAGAGAGAGAGAGATATTGAGCGAGAGAGCGACCGGAAACAGTGGATTCCTGGAACTCATCAGAGCATTGCTCAGCATTCTGCGGGCTTCATGCTTCTATTATTGTCATCCTCCCACAGATTGACCAACTCCTAAAGCCCCTAACGAGGGGAACGTTTGGCACCACTTTTTATGCTTGTTCACGAGGTGGATTGACAAATGTTGAGGTGAAAGCATCCCAGGTGGAGGGTTTTGGCCACTCATCCCACGGAGTTTCAATACCGATCAGAGTCTGATCGGGGCCTTGAGATCCAACCGGGACCTCGTCGGGCGCATAGGGATCCAGCTGAAGGGTCAAATTCCAAGCTCCAGCCACGTGGCACCTCAGTGACCAGAAAGGTCACTGAACAAGGTCACTTGAGAATCCCCAAAAAGGTCACTCAGAAGTGAAGGTGCAGTGCATGAAGGTGCCATGGGATCGTGGGTTCGCAAGAAGTCAGGCGATTGTGCTTTTTGTGTCAAAAATGGTGCCAGTCTGATGGTGTTGAGGTCGACATCCGGATTCTCTCCCTGTCACTGGGTGCGAGGCAGAGGGGGTATGTCTACCTGGAGATGTCGGATTTTGATTTGAAAGTGTTCTGCAATTAGAGAGTGAAGATGAATGAAAGAAGTATATAGACGGACAACTCGGAACAGGTGGTCTTCTTTGTGTTGTCTAGACCTTGCACATCAATCAGCAAGGCGGAAGTTTGAGCTGCGGGCGAACTGGCCGGAGGAGGCAGAGTCGACTCAGCCAAAGAGTGTGATGCTGAGTGCGGCCCTGAGAATCTGGCGCGACTTTTTTTGGGAGTTGAAGGCGGTCTGTTTTAAGACCATAAGTGATCTTCCATGCTAAAACGGGACATGCTGCACGCAATGACGGTTTCTTTTCACTGCGCACGCAATGGTCGTGCTTCCAGGTGATGGAGATATGATGACGATGGAAGGCATGACTCAGAAGCACTTTCAGCATCGAGTTCCCAAAGAGGCGCTCGTGTTACGTCAGAGGACAAGTGATGGAAGTAGTCTATCTTTTCTGGAAACCAGGAGAGAAAGAGAGAGAGAGAGAGTGGGAAACGCAAAGCAAGAAGATCCTCCTCATGAAACACGTAGATTTGCTTGCATACTAATTGTGTAAACAAAGAGATATTCTCCAAGTCTTTTGGGTGGCGCGGAAGAAGGACCATGAAGAGAATGTCCATTTGGGTCAACAACAGATTCATGAATAGGAGATCAATGCCCCAGAATGTCCGTTGTTCGGACTGTACCTTGGGACACGAACGTCCCTTTCCTGCTCTTTCCTTCCCTCCTTTCCCTCTTCTCTTTTGGACGGAGCACCTTTTGAGGGCCACGTGGATGGGCCACGCATCAATCTGACCTGGAGATGGACGGCCCACGACCCAGTCGCACCGAAAGCAGGAGGGTCCCAGAAAGCATCCCTCCCACGATGCCAGATGAGCACATTCGCCGCAAATCAGCGTTTCTGGGTGAGCGCAGAAAAATCAATCCTATGACGACGGCTAAAGTAAGATCCGAAACAAGCACTCAAGGACTGGGACTGGAGCGGATTCAGTTGGTTCGCCCGAACACCGTGGAGTTGACATGCATCACTAATTTAATCTATTATATATTATCTATATAGTTGCTAATTTAGCAATTACTTTGAGTGGCTCTACTGCTGGACAAGTTCTGTTGCACAAGCTTGGGGCCGTAGGTATCCAGTACTTTCAGACTCCAGTGCGTTTATTACTTTTGTAAACACTTGCTGAATATGACTGTTCATAGACAGTGAGGCTCCAGTGCTGTTTCTCCCCAGCAACGAAGCTTTACGGGTCTTCAGCCATAGCATAGACTTCGGATCAGGTTCCGAAGCAGGTTCTGGAGTCTGGGGGCAGGTTCCGTAGCACGTTCTGGAGGAGGTTCTGGAGCAGGAGCAGGTGCCGGGGCAGGTGCCGGAGCAGGTTCCGGAGGAGGTTCCCGAGCAGGTTCCGGAGGAAGGTTCCGGAGCACTTTTGTGACATTTTTTGTACTTGCTTTTTCGAAGATCAGATGACGTTCCGCAATTGCTGCAATGAGTGCGGTGATGTTGGTGGGCTTTGTGGAAACTTTGGTCGTGCGCCCGCTGTGAAAAGTAGGCCACGCAGCTATGCATCAGCATGAAGCTTGATGGTTTGTGACAAGAACGCACAGCATGTTTCTAGCTGTTGGGGACTTTCCTTGGGCTTACTTTGCAAATTTTTGCTAAATATCGCTTCCCATACCCTCATTTTGTTGACCCAAATGGGTCTTGACTCTTGACATTTCACAGCTGAGGTGCGGCACACGCCCAGGTGTCCTTGCAGGCGGGACAGTGGGACTGATCGTGGTGAAGTCTCTCTGGGTGAGCTGATGAAGAACCAACCTCAATGTCAATGTATACCGGGATCTCAAAATCACTGATTGTCCCGAGACCATTCAGTGTTGAGAAGGACAATGGAGACGAATTTCAACATTAATTTGGAGATAGATATCATCTGAACTAGGATGATACATTTTTACGTAG